ACCCCCCCAGAAAAGATGTTCTTCCCCTAAGAAACCTGCAATGCAGAAGCCTGTCTCCACATCAGTTACACTACAGATGAAATTGCCCTGCATTGCCTTGCTAAACTGTAGTAGTTTCTGTGTCTAAAATATTTTTACAGGTTTATTCCATCTCAATTGCAGATCCTAATTTTATTCCGGTGCCAGGAAATCAAACTGAAGAACGGCGAGAAGAGGAGTTCTCAAACCACAGTATGTGCTTCAAGTCATTTTGCTTGCCATTTTTTTTACCTCTCAGTCACTGATCAGAAAGAGAGATGTATTTTTTAACTGCAATTTTAACAGGAGAAAGTACGAACAGTATCTCTAATGAAAGCATTATTTGGGAAGGCTTTTACACAGCTACATTTTTTGGCATACATAAGGGCTTTTGCTGTAACACTACATGGATGCTCTAGAAAAAACATCTAGAAGTTTCAAAGTTGTATGCTGCCTGGTCGTCAGTGATACCTAGCAAGAATGCCAGCTGGTACAGAGTGTGAAACCTTCCGATGGCATGGATGTTCAACCCCTTGTTCTGCTAAGTGGGTTCACAGGAAAGCGCACCATGCTCAGAAGTCTAACAGGACAATAATCTATTCAACATGCTGCTTCAGAGAGCTTTGATATTATTGTTATAAGGTACCATCGAGTCATATGTCAGGCACTGAGATATTTCTACCAATCCAAGTATCCAAGAAGGACCTTTCCTTCCTTCTGGGAAATGGTGTGGTTTGAAGTGTTATTGAGTATGTCCTAGCAATTGTCTGTAGGGCAGCATTGCAGCTCTGAAGGAATATTCTTCACATTATGCTCTCAGCATTGTGTGAACAAGCGGTTGCTTTACACAAGTTTATAAAACATTAGATTTAAAGGTCAAAGGTAACCCTGGTGGGTAAGCAGCCCCCAGGCTGGCACAGCTGGGATATACCAGTTTCTGCAACTCTCAGTGTACACTTTGAAAACTAAATTAGCAGGTATTTATTTAAAATAATATCACTTACAGGGCCCCTCAGTGAGTCAGCTATGACACTTACATCCTATGCTTCTGATTCCTTAGTGGAACACCTCAATTACTCTTTCATCCTCTCCTTTTATCCTGGGTTGTTAAACTTTGCTACCCTTTCAGTCAACAGCTTGAAAGGAGTTATTACTCCACACATTTTTATGGCATGGGTAGATTTTTAATGAAGAGCATTTTATTGCCACCATGGCTAGTGTGGCTTAAGTTCTGTCAATATTTAAATATATTAGGTTTTCAAAACTGTTGGGGAAAAAAAAATTTGCAAAGAAATCACAAGTTCAGGTGCTAGAAATCAACAACCCCCTTAAATTTTCAGAGCAGAAAGCACCCAGGTGTTCTCAGAGGTCTTGTAGGAATACCTGTCCTGTCGCCTGGTCGCTGCACTCAGTTGCATGACTTTGTTTTTTTAATCTTGTGATTAGTGTCAACATCAGTGGATTCAAGAGAAATGTTGGAAGTCATTCAAAATCATGAGGCTTTACTGGATGATCTTCAAAGTGATATTCATCAAGCAGTCAGCAACTTAGGTGACTTACAGAGAATATTTGAAAACAACGGTACAAGCATGGTGTTAGAAGTGAACCAGAGCAATTCAGGTGAGAGGTCTGACACAGCCTACCAACAGGCCCTGTAAAGCCACGCAGGTCGGAAAGAAAACTGGAAAACAAAACTACCCCGATATTCCTTAGTCTGGGGGTTGCTTCTAAAGAGAGAAAAAAATTAGTGCAATCCCTATACAAATGAATTAAATTCAAGAATGAAATGGGAAATGAGATGAAAGCAGATTCCTTTGCACTTTCGTAGTATTTCAGAATGTGCCTTAACCACAGAATAAAGACGTAGCTTATACTTAAGATCTGTTAGCTTACTATTCTGCTTCTACGGCTTATTTTATGGGGATGCAGAGTTTAGATTTGGGTTTTGTTCTATTTTCATACTCATGCTATATACCCTGTTGTGTGGAATATCAGACTGGTGTATGTAAAAAATGTAGCATTCCGCCCTTCTCTGGAACATTATTCCCGCTGTATACAGGAGTGAGGGAAAAAGAGCCAACTTGACCTACCAGCCACCATCCCACAGAAATATTTTCTAATGACTCAGGCTATTGTCCTCAGTCAATGTCAAGGCATTCAAGTTTGAACATTAAAGTTAGAAATCCAGACTTAGTATAATTCACACCTAGTACAGATACTTTACAGATTTTTCAAGTTACTTAGTCCTGACCTGGAATATTCAGCTGTTAAGATGTGGGATAACTTTGTGAAGTAGGGCCTTGTAGAAAGCATCAGAAGAACACCGCCATTATGAGACAGTCAAACAAACAAGAGCCTACCAGCTAAGAACTATGTTGAAAATGGGCCGTTATGGCCACTTACAAAACTGCTTGTCCAGAGGTTTGAAATGCAGTATTTTTGTGCCTTAAATGGGGCAGTCAATATGTATCCAGGTTAATGTCTGCAGACTCGGAGACACCGTGTCTTCACAGTAACCTTGATTTAGAGTTAGGCTATTTTTGCAATTATCAAAGTTTAACATTTGGTCAGCTTCTGGGGAGCGAGATGGTAGTTGCTATAGAAAAATACATACGTGAGTAACCCTGGTACCCTGGTGTCCCAAAAGCAGAATTTAAATTTAATGATTATTTTTTTTAACCTGTGTTAATAGATCCACAGGAAAGGCTTCTGCAGCAAGTTTTGTTTCCCCATGTGGAGAATTTTCTAAAGAAACATTTTAACCCAATGTGGGCAAGCTTCAACAGAAGCTTACAGAACCTCTCGAACATGGTAAGAAACCTGTCCCATGACGTCGAAGCCAACAAGAAAAGCATAGAAAGATTCCAAGAGAGCACTGTGCCCAAGAAGGAATTCCAGGAGCTGGGAACTAAATTTGAATCAAAAGTCCAAGAAAATGTAGTGAAAGTTGATCAGGTGAAAAAAGATATAGAGAACCATTTGCAAAGGCAGCAGGCTAATATTCACTATAATCTCACCATGATCAAGGCAGATACTGACACAAAGCTCAAGAAGTTTCACAAGATACAGCAGTCCCATTTCTTAGCTTTAAACAACAGCATGGAAAGCATGAAACAGGAGCAAAACAATCTTGAAAATAAATTTGAGACTTTGAAAAAAAATTTAACAGAACTCTCCTCACATCACAGTCCCAAAGATGAAAATACCCAGTTAAGCATCAGACAAATAAATGAGATTCTGGCAGGGCATGCAAAGCAGCTGAAAGAACTTTACATGGAGTCAGATGTGGCCTTTCAGAATATTGCAGTTTTAGAGAGGTGGTTTAAGGAGTTAAAAAAAAATATCTCAAAGTATAGGCCAGAAGATGTTTTAATAACTTTAACAGAGAAATCAGTTATTATGGAAGAAAACAAAGCAGCTACGGAGCAGCAGATATCAGAGCTCAATTATACTCTCTCAAATCTTCGCGAAAACTATTCAGATCTGTTGAGGTACATGGAGGAATGTAACTGCCAGAGAGTATCTTCCGACACTGATATACTGGAAGAAGATTTAAATAATATCACTTATTCCCTTGAAGGCACCCAATCAAACCTAAAGGATATGAGGCACCTAGAGTCAGTTTTCAGAGATCTCTTGAGGAATGAAATTGAAGAGCTCTCCTCAGCTTTTCCATCTATCTATCAGTCCCTTAATCTCCGTCAAGAAGAAAACAGACAGCTTCAGTCACAAGTTGTGGCTGTTTCAGAAGACATAGGCTTCTTGAAGAAAAAAGATGAAGAAATTCATCGGCACATCAAATATCTCAACAGTTCTTTTGGCTCCCTTTTGGAAGATGCCATGAGGCATGAAGCAGCACTGGAGGCTTTACTGGGGGAAGAATTTATGGAAGTCTTGTTTGAAGAAGATCCTAGTATCCTAATATCGTCAGTATTTCAGCTGCAAGAATCTCTCAGACATATCTCAGGTAAACTCCAAGAACAAAATGTGACTTTAGAATCACTTACAAAGAGATTTCACCATTTGGAGAGAGGTCAACAGAATAATCATGATGGCCATACATTTCCTAAGCATCCCAAAGAAGAAACACAAACATCCTCTACCCTAGATGAAGCTAGTAGTCACCACAGCATCCTAGAACATATGGAACCTAACTATGAGGCTGCCAAAGATGACTCATTGGATAGCTCAGCTTATAATGATATCATGACTCTGAAGAATGATATCAAACACCTGAGCCTGGCAATCAAGAGGCATGAATCCAGAAGTGACATGAATCTCTGCTGCAATCATACAATATCAAATGCAATTGAGCCACTCAACATTTCTGTGGAAATTCTTTCAGCAGATTTAGCAACCACCAAACAGAAACTGGAGGAACATCTGCTGATTTTTAAAAAGCTATTTGGAAGTGATGAAGAGTTAGCTGCCTCAAATGTAAGTCTGGATGTTACAAAGATTCAGTCAATGCTGACCAGAAAAGTGAGAAGGCAACAGAAAGTTCAAGACAAGCAAAGAGACAAGAAAAAGCCTGAGAAACACAGAGAAAACACGCAAATGATAACTGGAAGAAATACAGTGCAGACAGAACTTTTGGGAAAAGGTAGGCTCTTTTACCTCTTCATGCGCAAGTCTAGCTGCTTTCTGGGCCCTGCTGCAGGTTCCACACATACAGCATATTAGTTGTAAGGCCTGCCAGATATCCTGTGGGATGCTGGAGGGAGAAATTCTGATATTATTTACATCCTCCCCTCCATCAGAATAAGCAGTTTGAGTGAGAACCAATCTGATACACTGCTGCACTTTTAGGACAATAAAATCACATCCATTATAGCTACTGGGAAGCTGGCTTTGAACTAATTCAGCTTTAGATGTTCAGAACACCAATTTTGTTTGTAGATGCTCATGTTAACGCAATACCAGTTTTCTTTTTTGAAGCTGACGGGAAGTGCTAGGGTTCCTGGTCTTGTTTCTTTTTGCTGTTATTTGAGTCTGGAAGGAGTGTACACAAAACACTAAAACACCTCCTAATGAGGACAGATACATCAGACAAACTGCTCTAATTTGCACAAGTGGAACAGGGAGGATTGACTAGACAGCACACTCTCTCTTACGCCTAAGCTTCAGAGACAAGTTTTCAGCTTATACTTCTGGCCAGTGACTGGCCACTTCCCTTTCCCTGTAAACGCATGGCCATAAGCACCTGGTAATTACAACCACCAGTCTTAGCACCAGCTTTTACAATTGTAGCCCTCGTTACAGACAAAAATGTAGAGCAAAGATCAGCCCCTTTAGGTATCTGTGCTTCAAAACTGTAGTTGAGACTGAATAAGCACAGAATGTATTTCTAACTCATTCTCTTTTAGGACAACAACAACAAAAGTGCTTCTCCCCTCCCTCCCCCCCGCCCCAGATAGTCTCAGGCCTATACTTTTCCAAGACTAGTGGTTCAGATATTTCCCGGGAACCATTTGATCTAATCCCAGGCACATACCCACTTCAAGCATTTAGCTCTGCAAAGGAGCATACAGAAATTAGGCTTTATAGGGCTTCAACTTATCTTCCACCACTGATGATTCCAGGGAAAGAAGCGCCTGCTGCTAAAATCCTGTTCCTCTTTCTTTTTCAGACTCATTGGTGGCATTCCATGTGGGATTCTCAGAAGGAAAGGATAAAGAGAAAACTCTGAGGTTTAATGAAACTTACCTCAATTATGGAAACAGCTATTTCCCTGAACATGGCTACTTCAAAGCTCCGCATAAAGGTGTCTACCTGTTTGTCATCTCTGTGGAGTTTAGTTCAGGACCAGCATTAGGACAACTCTCCTTTAGCCGTGGGTACAAAAGAACTCTCTCAAGTAGCCAGAGGAAAACACCAAATGGGAACACCATGACTACTTTTGCTATGGCAGAAATGGAGAAAGGGGAGAAAGTATGCTTTGAATTGCTCCAGGGCTCTGTAGTGAAACGGAGTCCACCTGGGACAACAATGGGTGGTTTTCTAGTATTTAAAACTTGAATAGTGACATTTTGTTTTACTGATATCTTTCCATAGATGCAATGGATCAATTCACTATTGCTTCATCTGTGATGCATTCAATCCTACCGCATGTGTTTAAACATAGCATTACCCTAGATTTGTCTTCATGCTTCTTTTCTGGAAGTGTTTGGCTTTTGATTAGTTGCTTATGAGCAGCAATGGGATTTTCTTTCAAATGATAAGCTAATGGTTTGAACTCCAAATGTATCAGTGCACACATTCCCAAATCCTTCCACTGTGAGAACTGCACCTCATTAGAAAAAATGCTTTGTAGGATTTTCTTCACTTAGAAAACAAATAGTTTCTCCTTTCCCCTGGCAAAAGAGTATCCTCCCATGGCAAACACCCCCACCACTGCAAGGAGAAGATTTTTAGGAAGGACTGCATGTATCAAATCTCATATTTTGTGAATAGTGGCTTAAAACCAAAAAGCCAGGACAATTTTACCTTTTAGTGCTCTGTGGACCACAGGCAGTCACAGACTGTCTTGGAAACTTCTGCCACTTAACTCCAATTCAGTGTGTCACCCTGTGCACGAGAAGGCTAAGAGACATCCATCAAACCCAGTAAGACATACCCTGTGCTAGTATTCGTAAGCAAGAATCTTAGAAATGCCACAGTCTTTTTGCTTCTGAGCCTGTGCTGTATTTCAACTACACTGCAAAAATGTAATAGTAATATAACAGTGTTAAGACTAATTACATCTACATTTAGACATTAGGAAAATGTCAACAATATCAAAAAATATTGTTCAAAATGCAGTTTATTTCTAAAGATGGTCCTGGAGAATATAATGAATTTAGCCCAGAATTCAGCATTTAGTAAACAGTCCAAGCAAACAAGCAAATAAAACTAACAGCAAAAAGGCAAGCTCATTGGTCTGCCGTAATTGTTGACTATAAATTAAATATATAATTAGAATAAACCAAATAGTAGAATTTCTGAACTGTGGAGTTTTTTTGAATTTCCAAAATCTCAAGATTACCATGTCTGGTCATCTCCTAAACTTTTCTTCTGACAAATAAAATATCCAAAAGGCTTTCATTTTAAAGTAGTTCAATTACTTTGGTATTTTTCCCTGTCTATCCTAATGCCTTACAAAACAATATTGAGACTACTAATTTTGCCAAAATGAAGTGCATTTAGAAATTCCCAATATTTTTCATGAAAGAGATAAATTATTATTATTATTATTATATATTTTATGCCCTTTTAAGGTAGCATTTTCTAACAGAAATCTATCCTGCTACTAAGGGGTTTTCTCCCCACCTACTTGTATTCTGAGCAACATTAAACCACAGAATTGTTCAAAACCACACATTGGTACCAATACACATTGCACTCAAGACAACAGTATACGTATCTTTTGAAATAAAGCTACAAAGCAGTTTCCGCTACCAACTTGCTGAGAAGACTGTTATTCTTGATCCTGAAAAATCCAACAAAGAAAATGACTAAAAATGATCTCACATCTACTCCTAGCCAGTGCCGATTTTCACATGAGATTAATGGGCCAAGTCTGCCATTTATCTAGCACAGAGCCGCATCTTGCGCTGCTCTGCATCAGGTAGCACAAAGTGCCTGCAAGCTCAGTGTCATCTTCTGTCCCACAGATTGCTTGAATATCTGAGGGAAGAAAAGAAGAAAAATTTGAACAGGTGTAATCTCAAAAAGGAAGAAAAGCATCAAATTGTGAGATAGGGTTCTTTCAATACAAAGCTACTATACTGGGCTGTTCCACATGTTTTTGCCAGTGGTCCTCCAATCATGGACTTTTGTGGTGGCATCGTTCTGCAATGCCAAGCTATGTGGGCTGCCTAGGCCTGGGTATCTCAAGGAACATCCCATCTCCAGTGCACACCAATTATGCAGCTACCAGTCAAGTTCCACAACTAAATACAGACAGGAGACATAGGTATTTAAAATCACTTTGCTTGTTTTTAAAGCTTGATAGAAAACTTCACCTGGACTGAAAACCAGCTATTTGGAAAAGGACATGGTAGATAGGATAGCAGTTCACACAGACAGGACTTTTACAGGTTTGGTATCCTGCTTACCAGAGTCTACTTTTGTTGAATAAGCCGAACAAGTTCTGAGATCAGCAACTCCAGAGTGAACACAATGCTATTGTAAGGATGTTTTTATATTTGTGTTCTTCAAATATGTGCTGAAGTTAGCCACCTGCATATACAAAGATGACATACTTGATCGTAAGACTCGTTTTTAGACTATGAAGCAAAAAACCAATGACATATAATGAATTAAAACATTCTATTGGATGCATAAGCCAGGAAGCCTGACTTCCTTCTCAAGTGCCAAGAGAAAGATGATTAAGCTTAAAAGGTTGTGTTTTTTTTAAATTAATACATCAGCTTTTTAATAAACTTTGATCTAAACCACCTCTCACATACAAGCAATCTATTTGACTACCAGTATGAATGTCTTTAAACCCTCCCACAAACATTTGTTTTGTGGTTTGGGGTTTTTCTTTGGCTTCCCCCCTCCCCCTAAAGATTAACATATCCACATCACCATGACCTGCATTTTTAGGCAATAAACTAGAGGACACCATTTTAATGAGGAGACAAGAGACTCCAGATTAGGACCTAAAGAAAAATTTGCCACAAAAATGGCAAGCAGACAAGGATGATTAACTGACAATTTAAAACAGCTACTGGTTGGCTCAGTTGATTAAGAACAGGGGGATTTTCAAACATGAAAAACGCACTGAAGTTGACCATAGGCATTAGGAAAGAAGAGCTGCCTGTAAGAGCAGACAAGTTGCTTCAGTTTATCTCATTGCAGACCAACTAGTCTAGCATGCCTGATGGCAGCTTCAGCCATGCACCGACAGGCACAGAAACATGTATGTTCATTCCAAGATATCCAGTGATACATATCATCTATCTGAGCCTCCTATTTAAAAAGACTGGATTTCCAAATCAAGCCACTAAGCTTTATAAAAAAGATAAAAAAAAGAAGAGAAAAAACTGTGCCTCTTAATGCCTTCACATACTTATTTTGTTATTGAAATTTCTACGGCCTTATGAATAGTTAGTATCTTATAGTACTTCACATTATAAAATTAAAATCTCCTATTTTTTTTCTTTTCCATTACTAAGATGATCGCCTCACTTCACTCAAAATGCAAGTACCCACTGCATAATAAACAATTTTATTTTCTGTAGATCCATCAATACCTGGATTCTGCAGTCAGATGCATCTGAACTCATTTCGTAAATCCGTATCAAGCCAGTCTCTGAAGTCCACAGTGGTCACCCCTTTTGAATGAGGTGGTCAACCACAGTTGTGGTCCTCTCATGACTCAGATTCACAGCTGGTGTTGACTTAGCTACCTTAACATCAGCAAGAAAGACTGAAGTGGTATTTTGGGAAGAGGTGAAGACAAAGCTGCTGAAGGGATTAATCCAACTAATAGATTTCAATCCGATTCTTTATGAAAGTGATATGTCTGCAATTTATTCAAAAAGCTTGTGATTCAGTTCAACTACGCAGTATGCTTTTTGGCTTGCATGCAAAATATACGTGTGGGATCTTTACACATGTCACTGGATATAGCTGTTTCAGTTCTTACTGATGCAAGCTCATCAGTAACACATTTTATAAAGAGGTAAAAAACAATAATACACAAATGATTTTTATAAAGAGTACAAAAATAATCATGCATAAACGATGACATTCTGATATTTATTATTAGCAGGCAGTAGAACTCATTTTCACCTATCACACACACCGGCCACGAGTTTTTCAAAAGAATCTTTCTATCTTTAGGATATAGCACCATCCTGTGGTCATTTCAAGAAGCAACATTAGGGGCGAAAAACAACCCTGCTCGTCGAAGCGAGAAGGGTGCAAACAGTTACCCTCAGTACATTCATTATATCCCCCTGTAAAACTAATATAAAAATCCCCGTTTTCAATCCAATCACGATCAGTGTAATCAGTGGAAAGACTCCACAAACTACACAACAGCTGCAACCATAAGAAAAAGTTTACTTTGCCAAGATACTAATTGTAAAGAAACCAAATCTTCGTGCAGCCGAATTTCCTGGTATTACCTATTAGGAAAAAACAGGTTTGAAACTACATGCAGTCTAGTCTTCTACTGTATTTTCCAGAACTCTACTGCAAGAATTTTAGACTTGACTTTATGGGGAGGGAAAAGGTGTTATTACAAAGTGATAACAGTTTATATGATGTTCAGATATCAAAACTTTATAGCTACTCTAAAAAATACCTTTAAAGCTCGTGTTATTCCTCACCGAAGACAAAAAGAGAAGAGAAATTGATCTTACTTCTCCCTGCTTGCAAATTAAAAGTGAACTCTACAGCAAAAAGTAGCTGATACATTTCTACAATGAGAAAATAAATTCTGAGATTTTACAGAACTGTGTATCTTATCTGTAGGATAGTCCCTTGACTGGTCTTCATTTGCTTGAATCATAAGAGTGAATTCAGTAGGCTATACTGAAACATCAGCATAATTTTGTAAGCAACAGCTTAGAAGTATTATTAATTAACTGTTTCATCTCAAATCTCTTAATTTTGATATCACTGCACAGAAAGAATGTCATATACAGAGGGAATAAAAAACAGTTTCAGAATTCCCCCATTCCTTTTTCTCTTTTTCCTTCATAAGCTTAAGGCAAATTGATATGGATAAAACCAAGATGTAGTGAACTTGGATATGTTCAAATAAAAGAACTGTACAATTTTGACTTGCCTCTGGCTTTGCTGTAAGATACGGATAAAAATCATGAGAAGGAAACATTGGTTTACTGTTACGCCCAAATTTAGTCCAAGGAACAGAGAGCACCAAATAATTCTGAACACCACTTAACAGTAAAAGCGATCATTGACAACTTATTCAAAGACGGGGCAGTGGGGAAGGACACTGGAGATGAGACCACAAACAAGGTATTAAAAAGTAGAGAATTATTTAGTTACAGTATTACGATTTCCAAGTCATTACATTTTAAGGCAAAATCTTAATAGTAACAAAACACATTACTAATGTGTACTAAAATAAGGTTATTTACTTAAAAATGATACATTGGACATGATCTGTGTACAGAACAAGCAATTCATGGTAAACTTAATAAGGCACCTTCTAAAGCAGATGCTGTACAAAATACATTAGTGTGTTACATTTTTAGAGGAGTATTCTACACTTCTGGCATATAACACACACAAGAGTGTGACCATTTGTCTTGTTCCACTCTTCTTTCATATTTTATTTACATCTTCTCTAGGTTAACTACAATGTTATTTATTCTTCTTGTATACAATATAGTACATTTCATTTTGGGCATGGCATGTCAGAGCACAAATGTCACTACATGATGTGGGCTTCTATAACTGCATTGAACAGTAAAAAAAGTACAAAGCAACAATTACATGAGATTTGTTCAGAAATTAGAAGTAATGTGCAATCCACTTCTGCTACACCAACCAAGGCTAATACACCATGTCCCCATAAAGCACTGTACTATGCAACACTGCCAGCCATTTTTAGACATCACTCCTATTTGGAATAAAGATCGTGGATAAAGGCTTTTGACTTCAGAGGCACTGTCAGAAGAATGAGGAAGTGCTAAATCACTTTAATATCTGTCAGAAGATGAGCATGTAACTTCCCTTTAAAAATATCTGCAATAGCAAAGGAATACCTTTTAATTTAGTATCTTTGCTTTTAAAACATTTTAGACCATTAGAAAACAGACTGTGAGATAGAGTAGGTGAAATATATCCAAATTATTTGTTTTATAAACACATTCAAATGGCCATTTAGATCAAGATCTAAAATTGGATTCAAGACTACTATGGAGGTAACCTAAAATACTAATTTTACATTTTAGTAATACCTCAAAATAGACTAATTAAGAAAATACTTGGGAAAACGTGATGGATATTGGGAAAACTGTCAGTTTCTTGGAAAAAACCTCAGGAAAAATTACATGTTGAGTAAAACTCAGAACAAACTCAAAATGTAAACCTACATTTTTCTGTAGGAATATCATGTTTCTTGTGGAATTTACAAGTTACCAAGGAACACAAAAAAATTTCCTTTCAGTTGTTTTAACGATAAGAATTATATAAGTAACTCCCACGTAACTGAAATCACATGGAGCAGGTTAAATAAAGACAAAAATCCCTCCCCCGTGTGTGTTTAAGAACTTCCAAGGCACAGTTCTGACACTCCCCAAGATATTTTGATTTTTATTAACAACAAAAAATGAGGGCACATTTGCCAGTTTTGGGGGATTTTTTTTTTTTTTTAAATGACAAATGCTTAAAATTTTGACCAAAGTGACATTAATCATATTTCAACAGAAGACTCCTATTACCCTCCCTGACCTTAAAGGCTTCTGAACTACAGTATTGCATAAAGCAACAACTTAGCTTCAGAATCTGCATAAGTATGCTTAATATCATATAAAAATTCATGGGCTAGCTTTGACTGAAAGTTGGGGGTTTTCCCCCTCCAGATAATTATAATACCAGTATGGACATATTTAGGCTCCAAACAGTGGCTGACATTGCATGGAATGTAGGTATGTGCTCAAGTGCTTTATGCAACCAGATCCTTTACCAGTAACATTTTTTGGAGTATCAGGGAATCAAGGAACGCTGAAGACCTAGCACTCCTGTTCAGGACAATGAAAACTGTTTGAGTATGAACCTAGTAACTGAAGCACTGAAAAAATTAAGGTTAAAGCTTAAGGCAAAATTATTTTTCTTCTCTCCAAGATCTTTGCAGCAGTCAGCTCACTTCTTCTGTGATAAAGTTAATGTGTAAACCAATTTAGGTCTTATGATGTCTACCAAAGACCAGCATCTTCTTGCCTTGCAAATGCCTAACAATAGAGAAGAAAATAAGTGAGTAAGTTCAAATTTTCAAAATTCACACCTCCAGCAGTGGCTTCCTGAACACTTGGGAAAAATGAATTAAAAAAATTCACAAGTTCACAGCTAATAATGCTGTGGCAACTTCTAAAGATTCTAAATAGGAATTGGCTAATTTAAATAGACCTCGTTGCTCTGAAAGTTTACACTAGGAGGGCACCTAAACATTTTTCCTTCTTATTGATAAAAATCCTAGAGAAGGAAAAAAATAAAAGCTTATCCCTTATGTTTTTTGGCTCATACCAAATATTTTCCAACTACCTGTGCAAAAATTATGTGCGAAGACACGATTAACAATTGCAAACTCATCACACATTTCTTGGCAATGGACGGAAAAATGTTTTTTTAAAAAGCCCTTTATCATGAGGATTGTGGTACAATATCATATATCTTCTGCTGTTTTCAAATAAGTTAAAACCATAGTTGACACACCTATGAACTTCTCAGCCAGAATACATATTAATACTTAAAGGCATTACTGAACAAAAGTAATGACTTTATTAAAAAAAAAAAAAAGCCCCTCGAAATAGCTAGTTTTCTATAAAATATGTAGAACAGTTAAATAGTCTGTACATCACAATAGAAAATAAAAAATACTGCAATCTTTTGCCTGACCATTTACATTATGTGAACTACAGAATTACAACAACACAAAAAATGTTAGAAGGTTGTAACTGTTCACAAATCACATTAGTTCTGCATTACATTGTTTTCTCTTAGTTGTATTTTCAAGGGAAATATAAACATACGTCAAAACAATTTCCATGTACATATTTTAAGACAACAAATAATATGGCATAAATCAATCTGAAGTTTTAACATTTTTCATCAATTTTAATATTATTCCTAACTTTTTTTCTTCAAATCTTGACTGTGGCGTATGTGTGTTTGTGCATGTATCTAATTGTACACATGTACCTAGAACTAGGTGGTTGATTTTTTTTTTTTTAAGGAAAGCACAAAACACACCATATAAATAACTTCCCTTTTTAAAGTTATCTAGAACAAGATTTACAGTACAAAGTTATAGGCACTTAAATTATCAAATAGGTTCAATGCAACGGTTCCAATACTGTGTGTTCATTCTTCAGACAATTCACGCATTTGAAGCTTCAACTTGAGTTATGGTACTGTTTTCTAACTTCAAAGTAGAAGTGCCGAAGGAGTTATGAATCAGTAATTCTGCTTAGCAGTAACCTCACGGAGGGGTTCTGGCTTTTAAACAACTTGTCTGGATCAGTGAAGAAAAGGAGGGTACTAGAGTTTCCTGTACATGCCAAATAGTTGGCACAATAAGATCAAATTCTGCAATTACGTTAACTTAATCTTCATAAATTATCTTTCAATGCCATTTGTCTCAAGTGTGCTTAACTAGAACTTAAAATACCCACTGACTTAACTTGTCTCAAATCTTGAGTTTTGTCACTGTCCACAATGTGGTCCACAGATGTGGCCTCCTGCACTTACACCAGGGCAACCCAGTTCAAAAATCTGCATGTTGTGGATCTTTAACAGTTCACATATATTCAGTTCTCCTGGTCCTGACCTTTACTGCATTGTCTAATCTTCTGAGTGCCCAGCCCCTGCTTCCTGCCTTCCATTTCTGTGTCTGTAAATTAGACTTGTTCTCGAGCCTTTCAGAACTTATCTTCTGCCTAGTTTTGTTGAATGATGAAAAAGCATGCTCCTACATTTGACCAATTCCCTCCTGTATAGAAAGAAAGTCAGAGCACCTACCAGTGAGTCCCAATAAAGGAGAAAGGCAAAACATGTCATCGACCATCTTTCTGTTAGAATGCAAGGTATTCAACAGCAAAAATGCTGGTTGTGTGTGGCATTGTGAAAAGTATGCCAGATTTCACAGTCGTCCAATTATGGAGCACACCAGACTAAGTGAGATGATCAAAGCAGTCTGTGCCTCTAAGACAGATTGTTTCCAGCTCTTTACAGACTTCGGTAGGCACTCCTTAATTTGTTAATGTTTTTGCAGTTCTCCTTATGACCAAAACAAGAATAGAAATAAAACTGAAATAAAATTAAAACTGAGATTTAGGAAGATAACTTAATAGCAAGGATTCTATAGCAAATCTCTGATTGTGGAGCTACAAAATGCATGGAACCCTGATCATAAAACTTTGTTCATTTAATGTTTTCTTATCTATTCCAAATGACAGCAAAATAATCCTGGCACACACATAAAGGCATAAGGAACTGTTAAACTGAGTAGTATCACAAACAGATTCATAACCTACAGGCTGTTTCACAAAAACTTGGTATGAACTGACTAGGTTTTATCAGGTAGAAGGCCAAAAAAAAAAAAAAAAAGCTTATATTCTCCATCTCTGTTGAATCCATATAGCTTGTTAGGCTTTCACAGAAAGCACTGTAATCTGAACATTCAATTCAGTACCCAGAGTTTTACTGGAGACTCACTATGTATGACTGAAGTCTCAATGCAGCTCAAACAAAACCAAAATGTGTATTTTATCAAGGCTGTCCATTTACGTAGCACGTAGTGTATAGAGGCTCTCAGTATCACAGTCTACGAAGTACTGAAAGATTTGATTAGCAGCCTGTAGAAGTGTGCTGAGAAAATATACTGAATCTCAGTTATTTCCTCTTTCCACATAGGTCTCACCCACGTTTGAGTGAAAAGATCTAGGAGTCCAGCTTTGCTCTCCAATGTCAATTTTCTATGTCAAATCTTTACATCTTGTGATTCCACCATCTTGGCAAGTGTCTTCTTGATCCTCAAGGCAGTGAGCCTTGAGGCAGGATTATGAGCCCAGCATTCAGACATTAATTTCAATATTGCTCTTAAACACTGTAAAATAAAAACCAAAGGAACATTATTGTAACAACTTATAGATCTGAGGTGTATAATTTGGTTTGCTTTCATGTCCAAATTATAGAAGTCTTAAGTCCAAAGGTGCAATTTCTAAATTTTCTGCAAAATTGCTGATAAAATATTATAAACAGATCAACTAAAAAAATCCCAACAAAACAAACAAACCAACCCCATCCAACAACCACATCCCAGTCCTCCCTTTCACTGCCTAGAATTACAGTGGCTGGAACTAACTGAAGTGTTTCTTTATTTTCACAAAGATGCATTACCAGAACTTATCATTACAAGTCAAGATTAGCAGTACAACAATGGTAGGAATAAGCAGATTCTGCCGTCTGTACAGCAGGAAAACTGTAGAGAACTTTCGTCACATTTCACTAAAAATGAAAATGAGAGTAAAGTTCTTTCAGCAGTCAAAAAATAATACAGAAAAAACTGCCAATTCCTAAATGAAATCAAGGATTTTGGGAAGAAAGGATATGGTATATCTAGCTTGCTATGTGAAATAGCTATGTGTTAATTACTGGTTCAAGCTGCGGCCCTTTAAAAACAGTTTTAAATTTAGTATTTTACTTACATTATGGCTTGCCCTGGAATGTACCAGTAAAAAAGAAAAAGAAGAAAAAGGGAAATCTACAAACACAAAGAAATTGCTTCATATTCCATGAAATACCTTATGCCACAAACCAATATGCTATATACATGGATTAATAAAACCAATTAAAAACTCATTTAAGTTTCAGCTCCAATCAAAACTGAAAAATATTCCACTATCTAAAAAGAAGATCTCAATTACAGCAGTATCCATACACTTGGATGCTGCTTAAGTGTATCTTTCCCTTAGATCCCTGAAAAGATACATAAAAAATAGTGTATTTTGTGTTGATTTCAAACATTTCTTTCTCCTATTGTTCCTGTGAGGTTATCAAAATATCAGAATGTGTGAATGTAGTCCCTATTTTACAATATTTTAATATTTATTAAATACCCTTCCATATCAAAGGAACAAACTGAAATAATTTTTCCTTTCAGCATACTCACTTCATCACTATTCCATCTATTCGATACTACTGGGCGTAGGCGTTTGACACACACCACTTCTCTCATGTCCTCATAGGATGGATCATTTGGCACCATGTCATAATATGGCAACTGATACTCTTCTACAATACCTGCAAATAATTGTGAAAGATCAAGAACCATTAAAAAAAGAAAATAAATCTATGTATCTACTCTCAGATTTCCTTAGCCAGGAGCAAAAGTTAACTTAATTTTATGCCAGGGCAAACCCACCACACTGTTATATTGTGGTAAAACCCCCAAATTTCACTACACAATTAGATATTTAGCAGAAAATCTCCAATATTATGGTTATTATGTTTAATAGCTACAATAATTCCTTGCAGTCCCTTTGACTTTGATACCCAGTGTAGAATTTGACATCTAATCCATCGCATGCTACAAAGAAACAGGGAGAAAGCATAAAATGGAATAAGAGAATACATGTAAAGATCTGTAAGGTCACAAAAAAGCAAAAGAAAAGGGCTGGTCACAGAAACATGTGTAAGGAAAAAACTGAATGACACCAGAAATACAAGTATAATAAAAGAATAACATCTCAAATTACTTTTTAGAAGTTTTATTAACAGCATTGGGGTAAAATACATCTGCATCCCAAATTTTTCCTAGAGCAGGCATTCTGCTTTTTAAGCAAGGTAGAAAAGCCCAAGATTTGATTCTAACAATCAAAAAGGTCTGGTACAGTGATTTTCAAGCTGTAGTCTGGACAGACTGTTACTAGTGCTTCTAGAGAATGCAAGGCTGTTGACATAGCAGGCCTGTTCTATAATTTCCTGGTCAAGTATCATTAAAGTGAGACAAGGACCTGGTAAATTTTATACAGAATATTTAAAAGTTACCTCCTGTGACACAACGCCGAGCCATTTCCCAAATGATCAGCCCAAAACTGTAAATGTCAGCCATGATGTATGGTTGGAAATGGTTTTTATTCAGGCTTTCATCTAGGACCTCTGGAGCCATGTAACGTTTTGTTCCCACTCTAGTATTCAAGGGAACATCAACTTCATTTGTGTCACTACATGAAAATATAAGGAAGTTAGTGAATTGTGGACATGGTATGAAATCCTGTATCATGTAATCGCTACACTGCAAAGCTCCCATTTACGAATTAAATTCTTTCTTTTATTTCCTTCTTAATACTACACTTAGAGTACTTTTTGCCTCCCTGAAAAAGATTATCTAGAAAAATGATACCAAGTATGGAAGTTGACAGTTTACTACTACTTTTGCAAGACATTTAAAACACATATGAAAATAACCTGAATTAAAAACTACTATAAAGATGACCATACTTAGTAACAACTCAAAATTATTTGCAAAGGCTTATGTTTTCCTTCAGGCTCTATTGTAGCAAAAACCCAATTCTCTGGCTCCACTGAAAATAAAGTAGTCAATCATACTATTACAGTATTACTTCTTCAATTAAGTTTCAACTCCCTTAACACTGTTCAAATTTTCTATGAGAATATATAATGATAGCAATTACTCTGAAAGGCCAGTTTGAATAATGAATTAGTTTTCTCTTCCTTTCCTCTACTTCTATTTTCCACAAGAAGTCTTTCCATTGTTCTTTTAACAACCTATTTTCATCTCAATGCTTATCAGCATTCAAAGGAAGAGGAGCATTTTACTCTCAAAATTGAAAAAATCTGAAAGAATGCAACCAAATTATTCCATCTTCCTTCTAAAAA